AATTGTTGTGTTGGAGGAAGATGTTGAGGATATCCTGGAAGGCTCATAAATCAAATGATTTTGTCAAGAACCGAATTGGAGCAAAGGTCATCATATGCCAGAACATAGATAAGAACAAGTTGCAGTATTTCGGACACGTTTCTAAGAAAGAAGGTGACAACCTGGAGAAGTATATTACCCAAGGTCATGTTGAGGGTCGACGACAACGTGGTAGGCCAAAAGTTTGATGGGCTGACGGAATAAAAGAGTTTACTGGCATGAACAATACGGTCACAAATGGTCAGTCATGACTCGTAGGACGACGACGAGACTAGGTTGAGCAATATAACCTTTTAAAGGGCAATCCAACCTTTTAGCTTTATAATAAGTTGATATGTATACAAGCAGAAAATTAAGAGATAGAGAAATGGTGAAAGCTTGAGATAAATCGGACCAATAAAAAGGAAGTTATGAATGTTTGAAATATGAGACGACTAAAGCTATGCAAAGCTCAAATTGGCAATTTGGTCAGTGGATTGTAATGTAGTCACTGGCAACTCTCCCATATGTCATGTACAAACATATGATTAATTTCTTTTTTTCTCAAAAGTGCCTTCTCCCTTCGAGCACTACTCAATTATTTGTATGCAAGGCATATTTGTATAGGTCCTCTAAAAAGAAAATACACGGCTGAGTCATACCTGTGTGTTGGAACACATGGCAAAGTTGTCCAATCCTTCATCTCAGTAATATAAGCAATTCTTATTTTTATTCGATTTTGTTTAAACTTTCACCATTCAGAAAAAATGGTATAAAAAAAAAATACAACGTAAAAACCAAAAACTTTTGCAATTTGGAAAGAGAAGCAAGTTTAATGTCAAGAAATGTTATGCAAATTACACAAAATTCAGTGATCGGTGAGTCTTGATTGAGTCATTTTGTGGCATGAAACTCTTAGGAATCCGAACCACTAGTGAATTTTGCGAAAACACATACGCACGACAGGTTCTGGTTTTACAATTTTGAGTTCAGATTATGATGTATGAAATCACTTTTCAACAAATCTCTCAGAGAAAGATATCATTGGAATGTACAGGTACATGATGATCTGCAATATTAGTTAGAACAATCCCCAGAGATCTAGCGGGAAAAGAAAACATGGATTTTACGTCAGACTTGCTGTGGCTAATGTCTTCTCATGACTAGGCTGCACATGTATTTACAATTTTACAATTCTTATCATATTATTTGGTTGTGAGCACTGTCCTTTGTGACTTTATTTCTAATTGTATTGAAATGTTTTAATATGCCTTATATGTATAAATACATTATTATTTCCAATGTACTTTTGAAATGATGTTAGTGTAGCATTGTTTTTTGTTGTGATTGGCTGATCCAGTTAATTTTATAATTTTTATGAAACTGAGAGTTACTCTAGAAAGGCAAATGATTTTTTATTATCAGTGTTCAAGATGATGTTATTTCAAATTCATCATTTTATTATCACGCCGCATTGAGCTTGACCTTACCCCCAGAATGATCTGTTAATTGTATTACATTATATACTTTAAAGTGCATTCTGAATGCCTTTTTCTCTTTTGTAACAGGAAGCTTTCCTTAAATGTTTTTGTTTTAATGTTGTTATTTACAGTACTAGTAATTGTAGGTGCTTTAGAATCAGAAAGATGACATCTTATTTGGAGATAGAAGGGCATAAACCCATTGTAAAAAGAATATGAGTTGATACCCTCCTTGCTCTAAACAGGAGAATTATTTTGCCTCTTTGTTGAAATGAAAATAATATTATGCAAATTGTCTTGTGTCACATCTTTTTCTGATGGAGAAAGTTGATTTTGCCAATTCATCTGATTTATGCAAATAAACTAATCGTAGACTGTTTTACATGACATGATAGAGCTGCGTGTAAATCTTTAAACCTCATAACTGTTCTGCTTTAATTTACAAACAAAGGAAACATTGGAATAAAATCCCTAAAATGAAAGATTTTATCTATTTGCATTGTTGTTGAACTAGATACCAGTTTTGATATTAGTTTTGATAATCATTTCATGTAAAAGAGGCATTAAACTTAGTACAAAAGAAGATATTTCAACTGTTCTAGGTTCATAAAATGCACTAAACAACATTAAATGTTCTAAGGTATCCAAGTGGTGAAAGTACTGAAAAGAACGCCAAATTCAGTGATAATCATGTATTTTTCATTTGACTTTTTAAGCACTAAAAAAGCATTCTGTACGCGTAGAAAGGCCCATTTCATCTCTGTTAGACACGTTGCCGTGTCTTGCCCAACAAAGCAACTTTCAAAGTATCGTACCCAAAATACACCAATCCCAGTTTATACGATCAATGAGCAATAGTTTGCTATCAAGGACACCCTCTCGGGCTGGAGAAAGAAAGAGAGCGAGAGAGAGAGAGAGAATGGAGGGGTGACGGGGGCTGGATAAAGAAAGAGTGGAGGGAGGGAGACAATACGCACACGCACACACAGGGCCCTACATTGGTTGTGTGTCTCTGTATCTCCCCATCACTCTCACTCTCACACTCAAACACACGCACCCGCCCATACTCACACACACGCACACACGCACACGCGGACACTGACACACACACGCGCTCTCTCTTTTCATCCTTTCTTCCTAGCCTGTATCCCTCTAGTACAGTGTGAATGCAATAAATAAATCAGCTCCCTCCTAGCCCTTACCATTCTCTTTTATTTCGATTCTGTATCACTTATTTTCCCGCTTCCCTCTCTGTCTATACAACTCATTTTGCTCTCTCGTTTACACGCGCACCCACACGCAACTACACAGTTCATATTTATCCACTCCACTTTACAGTTAAGCCCGTCACACACTACACATTGTCCTGCGATCCGATTTGTGTAGAAAGTGTGGTTAGATATGATGGAAATCTAAACAACCATGCACTATCCTCCTGATTTAGGGTCTAAATAAAAGAATAGTAACAGTCGGAATCTTGGTGCATTTCACTCTTCTAGTCACAATATAAGCCGAATCGGCTTCATAAATCGTAAATTTCAGAAAATTTGATTTTTTATCAAATGACTAAGTGAAGATTTCACATGTTTAAATGTTAATATAAAACGATATCATGATTCTTTTCAAAATCGAATCGTAGTCAGATCTTGTATTGTGCGCCGGGCTTTTATACTTAAATTATAACCATGATTCGAATTGACAACGATTGACACTTTGAGAGAGAAATTGGAAATAGACATAAATATCTCAACTTTGGATTCTTCTTCATTGAGGACCCGAAATGACATTTTAATAGTAATTTCAAATTTGCTGAAAAACCCAATTAGCTGCAAATCGCGAGTTACGTCACAACATTCGCAAGATAAGCAATATGATAATTTTTAACATTTACTTATTTATTCATACTTGCACAGCTGTCATAAAGTGAACATCATCCCAAAAATAGATGCACTTTGATTTTGTAACTTAACTTGCTATAACGATATAAAAAACGTATGAATGTGAAAACTTTTACAGCATCGTTCTATTTTGTTCGTACTTCTACTATATCGTACTTACCCACAACTGCTTTATTGTACAACCAGGCGCGTACGCAGACGGGGGGGGGGGGGAGGGGGGGGTGGGGGGGATTACTCCCCTCAATTAAAAAAAAAATGTGTGGGTATCGCAGGATATAACCCATAACTCCTCACTTTTTCAAGTGTAAAAAAAGAAAAAAAAAAGAAAAAAAAATTGTGCTTAAGGATGAGAAAAAAAAACTGACCTCGACCCCCCGGCCCCCCCCCCCCCCACTGAACGAAATATCGATCGGCATAATTTTCCAATTTTCGGGACAAAAAAATATGTGCTCTTAAGACCCCTCCCGCTTATTCAACGGCCGGCAGAGTCGTTGCGAAATTTTTGGTCAAAAACTGGACTCCAAAAAAAAAAGTGCTCTTACCCCCCCCCCCCCCCCGCTTATTCAGCGGCCGGCTGAGTCTTTGCGAAACTTTCGGCGCGATTTTCAAATTTTAACCCCCCCCCCCCTTTGAAAAAAAATCCTGCGTACGCTACTGTGTACAACCCATGCTAGATATAAGCTGTAAAATAAGTAATTTTTAAAAGAGTCGTTTGAAAAATTGTAAGAAATAAATAGGAAATAGGTCTTCTTCTAGTTTCTAATATGTTTATACACTTCTGAAGTATACAATAATATTAAACTTAAATATGATGATATCAGTGATTAAATACGTACCGGAACATCTGATTTAAAACACGATTGCAGCTACTTTTGAAAAACTAACTCAGGGGCGATTTCAATGGCTTGTTGTATTAACGTCAGAAGTAAACAATTAAGAAATAAATATTTCAGAGGCAAACATTCAAAGGAAAATATGTTAGAAGAAAAATTGTCAGCGGAAAATTGTCAGAGGTAAAAATGTCAGATGTAAAAGTGTCAGAGTTAAAAACTTCAGAGGTTATAATGTCAGAGGTAAAAATATAAAAACAAAAGCATGTTACAGGTTAAATATTGGTAATGGTTGTATGTTAGGCTTATTGAGAAAGAATAACGGAGGATTCTCTACAGTAATTATTTCAGCGCTGCTTTAATTTTGTCTTTTTTTAACTTTTACATATAGCTCCGTTTAGTCTCATTTGACAACGCCCCCTATCGTCAGAGCCAGCAGCCTGATACGTTAGCCAATGGACTTTTACAACAAAAAATTCGTTAAAAATTCATTTTTTGTTTAAACGAAAAGCACATCCACCCCGACGTACGTTATCACTAGCTCTTTCATTGGAACCCTCATGTCTCATTGACTTTTGAAAGTTCACCGACCGTAATTTCGCAAGCTCGAACTTTGGACTCAATTTACCACGCGATTGTAAGGTTATAAGTCAAGCACACGAAGGATAAGAAGCATGAATTACCATAGATCAGTTCTGATTTGTTCATTATGTCCATTTCATCCATCCCCCACCTTAATTTTTCCATTTAGTAGAGGCAAGCATTTTGCCGAGGTAAGCAAAAACATGAATATTCATGAACGGTCAGACAATACAGCCTTTTAGTACGTAACGTATAGTGGGCCGTATCGCTCTTGGAAGTGTAAAATGGCCGCCGCGCGTGCGAGCCCACTTCAAGCGTTATCACGGGCGGGAATAGGCGATGATCCGTAAAGGAGGTAGAGGTCAGTGGTTTGTGCTAGCAATGTTCCAGCGAGCGAAAATGAGACAACCGGAGCAATATGATTTACCTTTCGGCCCAAAATTAAGATTTTTTTGCCCGATTATTGCCGAGGGGAGACGGGGGCTACTTCCGTAAAGTCCGTATTAAAAGCCTCTTACACGCACAAACAAAAAAATAGTTATCGGCCCAAAACTCCTCCTCCGCATCACTTGGGGAGGAGGAGGGGCACGTTTCTCTGGTGCCCCCTGAATCCACCACTGGCATTTCTGATCGATTTGGATTACCAAATTTGAGTTTAAATAAACATTTTGTTGACAGATTTTACTCTTATTTAAGATATCACGACTTTGACAGATTGTCATTTCTTGAGCAATAAGCTAAATGTAATTAGTACCAACATTGTAAAACCCAACGGTGAGAGTTATGTATTAAACATTCATTCATGCACCTATGGCAACATAATTGTATGGAACACTGTTGGAATTATTCTTCACAAGACAGCAAACAAACGGTATACATGAATTAAATCTATTAATTTGGCGATGATTTTTCCAAAATGCACGAAGCGGGACTACTCCATTGGTATAAGATCTGTGGATATTTGGGGTCATTATTACCATTACGAACTGGTCTGTTTTGCGGAGTTGGTTAGAATTAAATACATCTTTTTCCCTCAAAGAAATACATAACACAGAAACCATGAAGTTCCCTGTTTAAGAATTAATTATACAATTATTCTGTAAAAGTCATCTGGTGGGCATCACAATCTGTCGGGTTTTCGATTTTTTCCGACGACGCAAGTACACAACGGCCAGGACGATGATTACGACAACAACGAGAACGATCGTCGATATCACCAGCGGTATCCACACATCAGGCTTGACAGGAGATTCTATAGAAAGAGAGTAAAGAATTAACATATATTGTTAAAAGATATAGCACAAGTTTGAATAAATAGCTGCATTAAGTATTTAATTCAACGCCTGGGTGGAGAGTGACAAATATAGACCAATTTCTTGCCAAAGGACATTAGTGACGTGGCGGGACTCGAACCGCGGACCTTGTGATCGACAGTCCGGCGACGTATCCACTCATCCACAATCACAATCACACGGTGAACATTTATTCGATTTCCATTCTTCACCATGAGAGTAGACATTTCCAACATTATTACAAGGCAGCAGTGAGTTCGAATTAGAGGGACCCATGTACGAGATTGGTGGTCCAGATATGTATTTACAAAACAAATCATTTTACGCAGTGGCAGGTTATTTGTCTGTTTTTCTTTTGAAGAGGGAGAGTGGAGCACAAGCGCTCCGTGCCAAGTATTACAAACAGTCTGACATACGTTAAGTCTCACATCAAAAAGTGTGTCACCCCCTTGTAATGTTCTTGAGCACATTCATGTACCAGGTCTCAGAAGACACTTCAAAATGTGGTTATTAAGGGGGGGGGGGGGGGGGTGGGGTTGTCAGTTATATTCCTAATTGCGCCCTCAGGTGACCTGCCTGTGCTGATTTTACGTACCATCAGGTTTGTCTACGGTACTGCACTTCTCTTCAGAGATCGTGGTAGACGTGCAACCGATGAGTGATGAGTTATCAGGAAGTCCTGAGAGTTCAAAGCCACGATCATGCTCCGTTTGGTAGTCGCTGTCCATGTCGAATCTAACACAGATATAGAAGGCACTGCCACAAGCAACAGCAGGGTCTGCACTGCCGAAATCAACAGCGAACGCCGGTATCTCGCCTTTCACGTACTGCTGTGACCTCTGCGTATCATCTAGAATCTGTTCTTTATAGTCATATCTGAGGAGTATATATATTTTACTAAACCTGGGTGGAAAGAGGCAAATGTAGAGTAACAATGTCTTACCAACTAACATTTGTTCCGCGGCGTGATTTTAAACGCGAACAGTCTGGTGACGTATTAACTATATAATGTCTTGTATTCGCTTTTCACATTTCAAGGAACTAAGTTCTTGAGAACTTTTCGAATTTGTTGAGGTTCTATATTTTATAAAAAAACCTTTTCCGTCATTCTTGGTCGCTGCCGGGTAAGTTTGATGATTTTAGGCATACAGTTAACTCTCATTGGGCATTGCTATCTCATATGAGTTTAATTTTTCCAATAACAGACAAACTTTGAAGTATTAATGTTGTCGGCATATCTTACCTCTTGCCAGTGTTAGTCTCATCAAGGGCTACCCAGGCACTAAGTTTCCACAGATTTATCCCTGTAACATTTGTAGTGTGCTGGCTTTCATGGATGGTGATCAAGACTCGAAGGTGGAATTGGTCTCCACGTGCCATGACAAACGGTGACACTCTCCTCACCCTTACATCTTGGATAAATAGGATGGAAGATGAGAGAGAAAGAGAGAGAGAGAGAGAAGGAATAATGACGAAGTGATTTAAGGAGGTTATGCGATACTTGGCTACCAAAAGAATAGGCAAGTAAAAAGTGCACTGCGTGCCGTTTTCCAAAAATAAACCATTCGGAATTGGAAATAAAATAGGCCTACATGTTAATATCATATAATTATGTATGTTAATTATACGTAAATATAAGCATGGTATATGTAGAAGGGGAATGCAAGAACCTCCAATTTCCCAAAGCCCCCCCCCCAAAAAAAAAAAAATCTTCTGGAACCGCTCTTGATATTTTTGTTTAAAGGTACAAGTTTTATCGTGTCACATAACAAAATAGGAAAACCATTACGCCACCCGTCAATTCTTATTCGGGAGGCGATGTAGTATTTATTTCATATACCTTACTTAAGAAATCCAGCCATCTGCTTGGTCGAAATTGGAGTCGTGATTTTAGCCATTCCCATTTTTTTTGCTGCGATCCCCATTGATTTACGTGTTAAAATGTTTTATGAGCGAGCGCAGACACCATAAAGTGCTTTTTGTCTGCGATTCCCAACTGATCGAAAATTTCAGTCCTTTTTCTGGCAAAGATAAACAGACAGTGTCTCGGATTTTCCGAGATGTTTTAACCAATCTTTACTCAATAAAAGGATAAGGTAAGAATTCTTCGTAGATTTTTGTTTCAATTTGGCATATATAAGACATATCGACTGCTTTAATATTCGAGGTCTGGCTGATTTTATATGCTCTCGGGAACTCACGCAGACCCTGCCATGACCCATCGGCGTCGGCGCAACAAAAACTGGAAGTTCACATTCGGGCGATAAACTTACGCCCCCCCCCCACTGTCAACATTAATATACATCTCTAGTTTAGAGTCAGGAGGCGAAATATTTCAATCCCTCATAATAATGTGTTACCTTGCCTAGATTACATTTGCCCCGGGCGCCGTTCGACAAATTGGTCTTTGAATTTTCGTGCGATATTTTGGGCATCGTAGGACCAGGGAGACATGCCCTGGTAGGACGCTACCGGCTACGATGTTTGTGTTTACATTATCTACGAGCATCGTGCCACTTTTCGTATTAGCCCTCGGAGGCAGGCCGGGGCAAACTCGTACAGAGGCTGCATGCTCGGAGAATGTAGGGAAGTCGTGAAAGTTCAGTGCAGTTACCGTGCAGTCTCCGCAGCCTCCGCACGGAAATCGTAAGGAGCCCGTGCAGAAGTTGCGGGGATAAGGCGCGGTGACCGCGCAGCCGCCCTGCCGTTTTGAACCTTTTTTTTGCCCCCATGTTCACCGAAAATCGTGCGTTTGCTAAACGATCAGCGCCAGGCCTCCGCGCGATGCCCGTGCGGGATTATGCATTCCACCTACGACATGTCTACGGGCTACGAAATAACGAATCAAAATTGTAGAGGTCGCGGAGCCGTGAATCCGTGAGAAAATCTCACGGTCGCCTCCTGCCTCCACACGGAGGCCGCAAGGGAAAAGGGTTACGGGCAGGATACTCAGTAGACTAATCGCAGGCCAAATGTAAACTAGGCTTAAAAACTTCAGGATATATCTTACGATATGGGCAGGATAGACAGCATTCGCCTTCAAGTCTCACAGGCCTGTTGCAATCAGGATCGGGGCATTCCTTTGTAGTACACGCAGCTGTTCCGTTGTTACAAGTACATTGTGTGCACGGATCTCGTTGCCAGACATCTTCGTGCAAATGTTTTCCTCCCGTATCCACACAAGGATATATGTGTCGGCCTAAAACAGTTAGAGTATAATGACATCGTTAGCTATTTCCTACCGGGTCAATAAACTATAGTTTTTGAGAGAGAGAGAGAGAGAGAGAGGGGGGGGGGGGATCCAGACCGGAAGTTAAGGACAGAACTCAGAAAGCAAGGACGAGGGTTAATCGGAGTACAGTCTAGACTGATTCCGATGCATATTTTAGGAGAGCCTTTTTTTAAAATCGAATTTAATCTTCTGAAGGTGAAAAAAAATCGACATGTTTTATAAATGATAATGGTAAAACACAAACATGGAAGATTGTAAATAAAAACAATGGTATATTGGGATATCATGAAAGCCAGATAAAAGGACTCATTGCGAATGAACCCTTGTTGCGCTCATTAAAGATAAACTTGAGTTCTGGTAAAAAAAGAAAATGAATTTTCACAGAATCTAACGAAACTTACACTGAATGTTCAAGATTACAAATAAATGTCATGTGCCAAACAATTTTGGAAGAAAATGTATACTGGCTGAGTAATGAGCATAGAAAGATAAGGAAATCAGGGTAGTACTAGCCCCGACACCATGTGTGTTGTCCCATATACATCTATCTGTGTAAGTGATTGTTACTTTACCAAGACTCTGCCAAATTTATGATGATTTTGATGACTCTAGAACCTTGCATTACACACCATTACTTACATGCTTTATGATTAACTTTTCTGATCCATTCCACACCTTTTCTTTCACAATGCAATCGCGTTACCAGTACTCAAGTTTATCTTTAACAATGTATGGCGTAACTCCGGGGGAGACATACCCACCAATCATATGGGGGGGGGGGGGGGACGGAGAGGGGATGTGGAAATATGAAAAGGGGATGTTAGAACACATTGAACTAGAAGCGGCTCTAGGGAGCGGGGTGAGCCTTTGGGGCTTAAGCCCCCTCCCCCAAAAGTGTAGAAAATAAGTGCAAGAATCTCTTGCCTCCACCACAGTAGGCTATCCCCTCCCCCAAATTATGAGGTCGAACGGCTAATGCCCATACATAATCATTGATTGTATATAACTAACTAAATATCTAAAAACATTGGTGTTCTTTGTAAATTACGTATATTTCTGCCTGAAAAAGTATTGTTGATGTTGTATAATTGTTTAATTTTGCCTTACTTACATTACTGTAATATCACCTTGGTCGGTGTGGGAACAACTAAATTAGAACCTCTCTATAAACTTCAAAAGAAAGCTTTAAGAATATGTACAAATTCCCATTATCAAACTCATTCACGTCCCCTGTTTTTTCGCCTAAGAACACTCGATATTTATGATATACATACAATTAAAAGTACCATTATGATGTATGATGTTTATAATAATTATGTACCTAAAAGAGTTTGTCAAATGTTTATCCTTAATAAATCAGTTCATTCATATAATACTCGTTCCTGTATCAAATATCATTATATAAAGGTCTCTACCCAGTTAATGCTTTACTCTTTTAGACATAATGGTCCCCGTATTTGGAACGTTTTAACTGATAAGCCAACAGTATGCACAACTATATCATCCTTTAAAGTTCTATTGAAGAGACAGTAATGGTCTCTTCTTATTTCCCTTAACTCTTTCTTTTAACTCGTTCTACCTTGCAATGTACCATGCTTGTGTGTGTGTGTATGGTGTGTGTGTTCATCGGTGTGTATCTATAATGTGTAGTATCTTATTTATATATCGTTATTGTCGTAGTAACGTGTACAACCATGTAATCTCGTTATTTATTATTTATGTCAGGGACTATTATACTTACAAGTTTTTCAAACTTCCTTTTTAGTCTCCAGTTTCTTAACTCAAAAATTGTCAGATTATGATTGTTTCATGTTACTTGTGTATATATATTATGTTAAGGTTTTATGATTGAAATAAATGAACTGAACTGAACTGAACTAATCAATGTTAACATTGTTAGGTCCGACCATTTTACCCATCCGATAAACCTTGTGTCCCCCACCCCTTCCCTGTAAGTCGCCCTTTACCCGGGCCCCCATAGTTTGGCCTACTTCCTACCATTACATAATGAAGTGCAGCCAATCATCGGTGCAGAGCTGGCTGGGTTACTGCTTATATAAAAATATAAAGATAGACGAGTAGGAATGAAGATGTTAGACAAGAGCGCCAGGGAAATAAGGATTTTGTTGTGCCAATCCCCTCCCGATAAACTTGGAAACCCCAAATTTGTTACAAAGTAATAGTTGAAGAGTCCCGGAATCAGGCAAAATATAGCAGATTTAAGTGAATTCAATACTGCTTCCGGGGCTATTCAGCCCACCCAATAATCTGTGTACCCCCCTCCCCGTCGTTCCCTGCTAGTCGCCCCTTCAACTTTAGCCCCCATAGCTAGGCCTACTTCTTACCAGTACATAGTGAAGTGCAGCCAATCAACGGTGTAGACCTTATGGGGAAACTTCTAAAATGGAAAGGAAGACCATCGTATGTTACTGCATTTCTTCCACGTTTCAGCTCAACACAGACGTTGGCCTCGCCGCAGTTTAAAGGCGGAGCAACGAAGGTATACACGACGTCCAGGAAGATGAGTTTTTTATTTTTTTTTATGTACCTCTGCGATGCCTGATCAACATTGAGAACTTGCTCGGTGAAACCTATCCTGGTGTGACTGAGAATGACCAAAGTGAATGCAAAATGAACAATTCACATACTGACTAGTATTACTGGTATATGACCTGGTTGTATGCATCCACTGGCTTGATTTGAGCGGGGATCACAGTGATTAACTTTGAATTTCCCATCCCAGGCTCAGGTAACGCCGAACCATCCGACAATTAACAAATAATCAAATAAATAAACGAATAATAATTAATATGTAAATGAATAGATAGATAAATAGATGAATAAATAGATGAATTAACTAATGATTTAATCAATAATGAAAGTTATTAACGAATTCAATAAATAAACTAACTAAAAAATACACTTCTCTAGCAAATGCAATGATAATAACGCGACAAGAATGGCCTTCATTCCCGAGTTTCTATACTGACAACGCGATTCAAATCGGGTTTTATTAATACAAATAAAACTAGACATATAATACTTGTTTGAAACAAGTATAGGTGGGCTGGTCAACTAAAATTCGAGACAAAATAGAGCATAAATAAGCGAGATACTGCTTTAAAATTCTTAAAAAACAATACCATGTAGATTCATGACGTGAACGAAATTCACCTTCTATAGGCATAACACGCAATTTAAAAACTTTCTTATATGTGCCCTTTAATCGAAATTTTCACTCTGATGAAAAATGGTGATTGTTAAGCTTGTAGAAATTTATCTTAACTACAACATATCGAAATTTGGAAGAAAATTGATCAATATTTACAGAGGTACAATCAATTTCCCATAAATATGCTGATGTCATAATATGCAAATTCCTATTTTTAGGTCGAAGGCCATTATGATAATGTCTAAATATTTTTAATAGCCAAATGAGACATTAAATCATATTTCCGACTCATTCTCTATCAAAATATGAAAAAAGATTGGGGGTCCAGTTCCATCCCAAAGAGCTATAATAGAATTTCTATAGGCATGTTTTTGCCCATATATGCTATGTATTACAAGAGCTCGCGCGCACGGACATTTATCTTGAATGGACGCTCATCTTGTTATGAATGGTCATAAAGAGATAAACATTATATCAAATTGTTCGAAAGAATATGAGAAATATCATAATAGAAAAAAAAATAGCGATTCTTTGATGTGTAATGGTGTTACGCGCGTAAACGCGCCCGCATGCGCGTGTGCGCGATTTTTTATAAAATGCTTAAAATGACCTGAAACGTATGCAAAATAAATTTGAGACGATCTTGAGCATTTACAAATTTTGCGCACGCACTGACGCACGGACATACGCGCACGCGCGCGTTTTTTGACCTGAAATTGACCGGACTGATATTGACCTTGATCATGATAAATATGATTGAAAAATCACTTTTGGTTATGATATGATCAAGAGTTTATTTTCAGAAAACTTCACAAAATGGCGCCTAGATCACGTCATCAGTCAAGGTCAAGGTTGAAAACTTTGCTGTGCTTTGTTCATATGCCTATACATATTATGTGTGACAAATTTTAAGACATTTGATTTTGCCATTTTCAAATTATTTTGAACACAAAAAAGTGGGTCGAAATAAGAAAAATAAATAAATAATAATAAATAAAGGCGATTTTAACAAAAATATAAGGTGGTCTGTATTAGATACAGCCCACCTGAAAAGTATGATACATGATTGTAGTCCAAAGAGTAAAGATAACATGTTTACAATATAGAATGATGAATAACATATATAAATAAACGTAAATATTAAACATCTACAAAACAGATCGTAGAATAAAGGCCTACGTACAAAACTGGGGAATATCGAATACGCATATTAATAGAAATACAAATAATAATAATAATAATAATAATAATAATAATAATAATAATAATAATAATAATAACAATGATAATAATAATAATAATAAAAAAAAAAATAATAATAATAACAATAATTATACTAGACATTTGTAATGCGCCTTGTCTGTCAAAATTAATACTCCTGGTGCAGTTGTGAGAAAATTGCATGATTGAAGGGCATACGTCTATTAATTAATTCAAGAAGGTAGGCAAGATACACATAAGTTTAAGTTTAACTTACTTCGGGACTAAATTTTGCAATAATATAATAAAAAATTGATTTGAATATGTAAGATAACATACGCTTAAGTTATGAATTGACACACATGGGAGATACTGTTGTAAAAAGCAAAACAAAAAGTACATTACGGTAATAAAAGAAACGTTTTTTTTTTAGCGCAGGTTATGACTCTTCATCTATGTTTTTTATAAGGAGGTCGTATTCACATACCTGTGAGTAGTGTTTACAGGAGCAATCCAGGCAGACAGCTCCCAGAGAGATTCGCCTCTCAGTCCTGACGTGTCTCGGGCATTTATAAATTTGACTTCTACCGCAAGAACTATTGTTGCGTCAGCGTTATTCGTCACATTGCGTTGACTTTGAATGGTAGGGCTGACATTAAGCACTGCCAGGTCTGATATGAATCAAGATTTAAGAAATAGACTTGATGACTAGTCATAATATCATAAAACAAAAAAAAAGAGGGGGAAAGAAGGGGGGGGGGTGAATAAACGTTGGATGCTGAAACATTTGATTTCTCGTGTCTGATATAACATATACGCAGCACTTCGGGAAAAAAAGATGACGTAATCTTGAAAAAGAGAGGCCAACAAAGTTAAGAGAAGATAGCAGAAAATTAGGGGAGAAAGGGGGGTTAGAGAGTATCACAAAGGGAAATAGCGATAATTTCGTATTCCCCCCCCCCGGATCAACCTGGAAACCCCAAATTTGTAAGACAGTAAAAGTTGAATAGGCCGGTTTCAGGCAAACTAGCAAATTTAAATCAATTAAAAATCCTGCTGCCATTTTGGAGTTTGTTGTATGTATTGTAGTAGTGAATTTACGACACAGTCCTACAAAGGTGTGGTCATATGAGAGGGCGGGTGGGAGTGGGGGGGGGGGGGGGACTCTCAGAAGACTTACTGTACGGACAGGTAAAGCAGCATCTTCCTGGCAGTTTAAGGGGTTCAACGCAGAATGCCGGTTGACAAGGTTCAATTACGCATGTTGTAGTGCTGTTATCACACGAACAGGTTGTGCATTCGTCAACGTGCCACACTTCGGAGTGAAGATACGACACTCCACAATAAAAACAAGGTAAAGGGGGATCGCCGGATGAGAGGCTGACTGAAAATGCTGATGGAAAATAAAATATGAATTGAAATAGATCCATCGAAATGTATCAAAATCATGGGAAAAGTCTTATTATGGTAATCATGGGGAGGGTTATTTTTTAAGCTGACCAAGTTTTAACGGTCTAATCTATATAAATTGATCAAATTTTTTAATGATTGGAGTACTCTCCAAGTACTCTACCACAAAAATGTTCATTCATTGAAATGTAAGAAAATAACAAGAAAAACGAGAGGAAAGTTGTGTACACAGATGCTCTTTAGCAATACGAAGTTTCTAATGTCCGAAATAAAAAATGAAGGAATCAATAATAGAGCAAAGTATTGTTACCTTTTCTTTTTCCAAAACAGAATAATTCGGTAAAAGTGTTCAATTCAAATCAATTAAATACTGGTATTATGTTGACAATTACCCCCCCCCCCCGAAATTTACCGACACCCTTTTCATTAAAGGGGAAGTCTACGCTTAATTATCTTCGGGGTAATTGTCCTAGGGGGTAATTTTTCGGGGGTAAGTGTTCTTGGGGGTGGGGGGGGGGGTCATTGTCCCGCTGGTAATTGTCAGGGGGTAATTATCCGAGAACCAATTGAACTTATTACAAAGGTTGGATTACCTATTAAGATTGGTGAAACCAAGTAATGGATAATTAAATGGACCGCCTACATTATACTCAATAGGGTCATCTTTGTGTCACTACACCCCCCCCCCCTCATCATGATAAATCGATTAAACTGCATTTTGGCCATTGATTTGGGGGAGTTGTTGGCATTTTGGAAAGAAAAACAAATTGCTTGAGAGTTGAGTATTCATTTTCGTTCAAACGGAGTGAATAACGCAAAAGCTTTGATTTACCCGATTGATCGGTCATGCAGTCGAGGAATTGTTTGTCCAACTATTTCTAGAGTGTTAGCGTTACATAGCTACTACAGCAATGTAAAAATGTACGCTCTTTGTACTAAAATCTCACTATTATGATGGCTGCAAACGGTTTTCTTATAGTTTGTTAATATCCCATTGATTCAACAACCAAAAGTTGTGGTAATGATTTGTTTTTTGTTTTGTTTGTCTGTTTGTTTGTTATGGTGTGTGTTTACCTGACTGCTAAGAAAACATTTTTTTGCTTGTAAGTAAGTAATCGGGACCGACGGCGTCAAGTCCCATTAGGCCTCTCTACGTGACTTGCTAATGCTTTACCAAAGGGAACTTGCTCATTGACTTGGCTTCGGACCTCGGACCTCCCGGTTACGAGACCACTGCTCTACCACTTAGTCATAACACCTTCACGAGGTGAGATATTGAAGATAACAAGTAGATATTGATAAACGATGAATTAAATAGAACTGTGATATAATAAAAATGACAAGTATACTAGCTGTATAATATAGTTAAGAAAGACTTACATTGGGAAGAGGCATGGTGCACCACGAGCATCAGACTTCCAAATACAAGACAGGCAAGGTACCAAGAACGATTCATCATCATTTGGAGTGTTGTGACAACAATTGATTTAAGCCCAGAGAGACTGAAGGTTTATATAGACATACCGCCTGCTTACATATTTATGAAATTCCCTTGATAAAATTTCTCCCTGGATAACAATGACCGGAAATGAATGTGGTAGGTTTAAAGGCATAATCCAGACCCTTACAATTAAGGTACAAATCATGATTAAGATTAGAAAAAAATCCGCTAAAGATGGTCACTTTTATTGATTGTGAACGATGGCAGCACTTCACAATAATCAAAGGCACGGGCACATTGACAACCCTACCCCCCCCCCCCTCCGATGGAATGGAATCAAATTGAAAGGAGAAAAAGGAGAGAAAATGAAAGGCTATGTGTGGGTGTGTGGGTCGGAGGACGATAAAAGAAGATGATAGAACCCCTTTTACAACCTCCCCTTAGCGGTTGTGTGAGTGAGACCGATGCACCCCCTTGATATTAGTGTCCCCTCTATACTAACATTGGCATGTTTATTCACTAGTAAGTATCCCGTTGTTGTGGTCGTTGTTTTATACTCCATGAGCCTAGCTTTTGAAGTTACATGTATATGTATTACATTATCTTACAATGCCGATGCAGTTTATGTACAGTTCCAGCGGACGATAAAATTGGCGCTAAATGTACAATAGATGCCCACGAAAATACCTTTAACATTATTCTGTCATAAGGAGATCAATCTTTATTCCAAGGAAATGAGTATCTCGTTGTCCGGATGTTCCTTGTGAATTTTGGAGCAGCTTGCTTCGATATAAAACGAAATGTTATTTTCTTATACTTGTACAAGTTTCCTTTTATTGTCGATTTAGCCTGAACTATTACTCATTTCCATAAATGACGAAATTTTTCTTCATCTTTCTTTTTATATCTCATCCACTCTTCTTCGATTTTTTCTCCATTCTCTTTTCCACTCTCTTCATCTATTATCATTAATTCTTTATTGCAACCAAAACCTAAGGTTGGATTCTAAACACAAATCTTAAATCTAAGATCTAAGATCTTTTGAGGTCATATTTCGCTTCCTTTCTGACTCCCTATCTCTTTCTACTTTATTAAGCACCAATCTTTTCCCCTCTCTTCTGCTCACTAAATTTTCTCCTCTCCCTACGAGCCAAACAAAAAGTCTTAATCTCTTGCGAAATCTCTGTCAATAACCTCATCTCTCTCTGTCATTTTATTCAGATATATCATAAGGCTTTCAAGTTTCAAGTTTCAAGTTTATTTGTTTCACATTTCCAAAACAAGAATTCACATAATTGACAAGATTAAAACATAATATGAAATATACTAAAAGTGTCACATTATATAGTTAATTCTTTGAAAAGACGTCGAAATTAATTGTATTGAAAAGAAGGTTATACAGGGTGAAATGTGAGGAACCTATTAAAAAGCTCAGCTTGTAGAGTATAGGTTCCCGTAAATAAAACTAACATTTGATTGAATTGGTTGTGATGGTGAAGGACGTAACAATAATAATAGGTGGGCAAGAAGGCCTTGACATAACATGATATACAACGTGAAACAAGCAAAAATAGCAAAAATAGCAAAAACAGCAATTTGTTACCAGTTTGTTGCATCGATTTAAAACGTAATTTTGAGTACATAAATTTACCTTGGTTAAAATGAAGGCGATATTGGTATAAAAGATATAATAATACAATCATATTAAAAAACATACTTCACACCTCAATGATATCATGTCTAGAATAAATTTTTTAATTTTGTTGGAATATATGCAAAAGATTAAAATAACAATACATTCAAACTCCAAGCTCTACGATTAAATATTGCGCAATTCGCACACCTCCCTACTTTATATCGTGAAATATCAAAACAAAAGACCCAATATGGTTCATATAACAAAGATTAAAATAACAATTCATTTAAACTCCAAGCTCTACGATGGAATATTGTGCAATTCGCTGACCTCCCTACTCTATATCGTGAAATATCAAAACAAAAGACCAAATATGGTTCATATAAAAAATCCCCAAACTGAATGAATCCATTCATTAAGAAACAATAAAGGTCGCTTTCACGAGGGACCATAATAATGAGATATTAACAATGCGACCATAAATACAAATATACCCACTTACATCATCAAAAAGTCATGTTGACAGTACTACGATGACAATCAGTATCTACAATCTACAACATTTTTTATCAAAAATTTTATCTTGACGACAGATCTCTCGTAAAAATAATGTTTTAGATCGTAAATTATCAAAACATAATCCAATAAAAACAAAATGTTTTATATTACTCACAGCAATAATTCCCTTTTAATCCATAGAGGATATAATAATACAATCATATACACAAATACTGAGGAAATTTTAGAACAAAGTTTAAATACATAGGTATTACGAGAGATTATTGTATTCTTGCCTACTAATCTACAAGATTCCCAACCAAAGTGTATGAGAGAGATATAAACTATGGCACAATGCAAAGTTTCTCAGCACGACACGGGAATCTCCCTTTTGTTGATAACGTGACGTACTACGCAAAGTTGTTTATCAAGAAAGTATATTAAAATTTATGGATGCTTCCTGCCAACGTGGGTGTGTGTGTGTTACCTGCTATCATATTTTGTACTATTATAGACCAATATCGTTTAATCAAATTTCATGCACACATCATTGTAAAGTGCCTCGTTACAAACTATTTCATTCACCTGTTACGAATAATTGTCTTTGAATAGTCAGCATGCGAATTGCAACATTAATTGTTGTTAGGTAAGACAAACATTATGGCTGTTCGAGAAACCTCCTACAAGCACAAACCCCAAAATAGTTATCGGCCCATGACTCTCTATTATTTTTTTCTCTTTTCACTTGGGGAGGGCGAGGGGCACGTTTCTCCGGTGCCCCTGAATCACCACTGGTCTTCCTGATCGATTTGGATTACCAAATGTAAGTTTAAATACACCCATTTTGTTGAAAGGCTTTACTCTTACTCCTATTTGAGATATCACGTCCACCCAAAAATAGTTATCGGCCCATGACTCTCTTCTATTATTTTTCTTTCTTCACTCGGGGAGGAGGGGCACGTTTCTCCGATGCCCCCTGAATCCACCACTGGCCTTCCTGATCGATTTGGATTACCAAATGTGAGTTTAAATAAACCCATTTTGTTGAAAGGCTTTACTCTTACTCCTATTTAAGGTATGGCGACCTTGTAAACATGTAATTTCCAGAGCAATAAGCCAGTTGGTAGATAAGATATGCGCATTGGCAGATTAATATAATTTGTACCAGCATTATAAAACCCATTTCAGAAATGTATGTAGTAAGCATTCGTTTATGCACTGACATGAAATTATATGGAACACTGGTGGAATTATTCTTTTCAACACAGCAATCAAAATGTATTCATGAAATAAATCTATTACTTTTGCGGTGATAGTGCTAAAATGCACGATGTGGGACTACTCCATTTGTAAAAGATCTGTGGATATTGGGGGTCATTATTATTAATATATGAAAACTACGATTTGGTCTATTTTGCAGAAATGGTTGGTCCAAAGAAATTCAGAACACAGACATTTTGAAATCTTCTGATTAAGAATTAATTCTAACCTCATTCTGTCGAAATCATTTGGTGAACATCATAATCTGTAGGGATTTCGAATTTCCTCCTAAAAAAAGTGTAGAAAATGAATGCAAGAACCTCAAGCCTCCACCACAGTACACCCTCCCCAAATAATATGAAACCGCTCATGCCGTAATAAAAGAGTTAACACTAATGGTATTGTTAAGTCCGACTATTTAACCCACACAATAAGCCTGATGCTCCCTCTTCCCTGCCAGTCACCTCTCTACCCTGGTCCCTGGGCCCTAATAGCTTGGCCTACTTCCTACCAGTACACAGTGAAGTGCAGCCAATAAACGGTGTAGAGCTGTCTGCGTCACTGCTTATATTGAAAGGACGATCATCGGTTGTTACTGCATTTCTTCCACGTTTAAGCTCAACACAGACGTTGGCATCGTCACAGTTTAAAGACGGATCAACGAATCTATACACGACGTCCCGAAAGATGAATTGATCTCCTTTGATGTACCACTGCGATGCTTGATCAACATTGAGAACTTGCTCGGTGAAACCTATCCTGGTGTGACTGAGAGTGACCAAAGTGAATGCAAAATGAACAGTTAATATACAGACTTGTTTTACTTCGTATATAAGCTGGTTGCATGCATACACTGGCTTGATTTCCGCGAGGATCACAGCAATGATGACAAGCGACAATAATGACCTTTATCCCCGAGTTTCTGTCCTTTTGATTTTGCAACTTATGTCACAATTTTGCTATAATATAATTTTAAGATCATTTTCAAATCAAGACCAATGTAACATACACTCAGGGCGACCGAGCGACTTCCAAAGTGTGGGGGGGGGGCACCAAGAAAAAAAGGGCACTTCCTAGAAAAAGAGCACCTACAAACGTAAATGTCAAAGCAAAAATATCCATTGTTTTAGACATCAGGGATGATTTCAATATTTGTTTCACTTTATACACCCTACAAGCATCATGCTTTGCAGTTTGATTTGATTGTCTAAAATAAAACAATGTTTGCGAGCGAGCGAGGAAAACAATTAAGATGTGTGAGGTTGCAGTGCGAAAAAATACATTTTATAAACAGGAAAAAAACACACAATCCTAATGGGGTTATAAGTACATTCTCATATCGGAAGGCTGAAAAGACCTTTGATATGTTACATAATTATATCATCTATAGATGCGTGCGAGCGTAGCGTGCGAGCTTTGGGGGAAATTGCTCTTAATTGCTTGAAATTAGCTAGGGCGCGTTTAATGATGAAAGGAAAAGGGGACACTTATCAGGAAAAAAAGAGGAGCATGTGTCAAAGTACAAAGAGTAACTATCAGAGGTGAAAATGGGGCACTTTTTACACCCTCAAAAAGAGATACTCACCAGGAATGAAAAAAAAGTAAATCATGAGAATAGGAAATGGGCATTTGTCGACGGAAAAGGGGCCCCATCAGATTTTGATAGGGGCATTTATAAGATATTATCATATATTGTTAAAAGGGAAATTATCAGAGGTGAAAAGAGGCACTTATCGCATCTGAAAAAAGACAATGACCAGATATGAAAAGGGCACTTATGTGAATGAAAAAAGGGCACTTGTAATAAAAGAAAATGTGCATTAGTTAAAAGAAAATGGGCACCGATCAGATTTGACAGGGGCATTTATCGGAGTTTAAGGGGGCACATAACACAAGTGAAAAAAGAGTTACTTCTCGTTACCGAAAAGGATCATTTACCAGAGAAGGGGCACTTATGAGAAGGGGAAGGGGCTCTTTTTAGTAGGAAACTTATCATTAGAAAACGGGGAACTTATTAGAAAGGAAAAAGGACACATGTGAAAATATAAGGTGCGCTTATCCGAGTTAAAATGGGGTTGGTTAGTTAAAGGGGCACCTGTCAGATTTAAATAGATCAATTATCAGAGGTGAAAGGGGACACTTTTTAGAAGTGAAAAAAGGTACTTCTCATACCTAACTAGGGGCACTTACTAGATATTAAAAAGGGCACTAATGAGAATGCAAAATGAACACTTATTACAAAGAGAAATGTGAACTTGTCGAAGGAAAAAGGGCACGTGTCCAAATAAAAGGGGCACTGATCAGAGTTGAAAAGAGGAAGGGGCACTTTTACAAATTAATAGGTGCACTTGTCAAAGTAAAAGGGGCACTATTCCTATGTAAAAAGTGGCACTTCTTAAAAAGTTAAAGAGGCACTTTTCCTATATATGTAAAAAGGGGCATTTTTTGGGTGATTGAAAAAGTGGGGGGTGGGGGGTGCGCTGTGCCCTCTGCCAACTCCCGAGAGGGCCGCCTCTGCATACACTCAATACACACGTATGAATTGAAGCATATAGAAGATACTATTGTAAATAGCCAATACCAAGTATATAACAGAAATAAAATAAACGTAATCTTTTGGCGCATGTTTTATGACTCTTCGTCTGTTTTTGTGAGGATGTCGAAAGCACCAACCTTTTATTCTTTTTCTTAAGAGCAATCCAAGCAGACAACTCCCAGAGAGATTCGCCTTGCACTGTCGTACTTCTTGCATCTCTAAATTTGACTTCTACCGCAAGAGCTATTGTTGCGTCACCGTCAGATGTCACACTACGTTGACTTTGAATGGTAGGGTTGACATTACGCACTGTCACGTCTGGTATGAATCAGGATTTAAGAAATAGATTTCATGACTTGTTTATAATGATCATGATACGAAAAAATAAGGGTAAAGGGGGGGGGGGGGAGGGTGAATAAATGTAGGATGCTAAAACATTTGAGTTTGGCATGTCTGATATGAATCACATTATTCAGTTTGATTTCCCTGTTGTAAAAGAGGCGTCAATAGTGACGTAATACTGTGTCAGCACGCAATTTGCGCGGTGATTGGCGGAGCAATGTGACAGTGACAATATAATAAATTGCGCCCTTGACATTTATATGAATGTCCTTTTGCTAATTGCTTTCATCAGTTTGATTAACATCAGTAATAACGCAGTCGAAATGACGATACTAGAGCAACGGGAAAATTATGCATTTGGAGAAACACACAACACATACTTAGCACTTTGGCAAAAAAAAGAGAAGGAGATGTACCCATAAAAAAGAGACGCCAATAAAAAGAAGAAAAGATAGCAGAAAATAAGCAGATATAAAGATAGAAGAACAGGAATAAAGATGTTAGACAATAGCGCCAGAAAAATAAAGAATTTTTCGTGCTCCTCCCTCTCCCGATCAACTTGAAAACCCCAAATTTGAAACAAGTAATAGTTGAAGAATCCCGAAATCAGGCAAAATTTAGCAGATTTGAGTGAATTTAATACTGCTTCCGGGGTTATTCAGCCCACCCAATGATGACCAATATTTCTTGTGTACCCCCCTCGTTCCCTGTCTGTCGCCTCCTCAACTTGGGCCCCCGTAGCTTGGCCTACTTCTTACCAGTACATAGTGAAGTGCAGCCAATCAACGATGTAGACCTTTTGGGGAGACTGCTAACATGGAAAGGACGATCATCGGTTGCTACTGCATTTTGTCCACGTTTAAGCTCTACACAGACGTTGGCCTCGTCGCAGTTTAAAGGCAGAGCACTGGAGGGATACACGACGTCCCTGAAGATGAATTGATCTCCTTTGATGTACCACTGCGATGCTTGATCAACATTGAGAACTTGCTCGTTGAAATCCAGCCTCGTGTTACTGAGAGAGAACAAAGTGAATGCAGAACGAATAATTTGCATACTGACTGTATTACTGGTATATGAACTGGTTGCATGCACCCACACGCTTAATTTCAGCAAGGATCACAGTGATTAAGCTCGCATTTCCCATCCCAAGCTCAGGTGACACCAAACCATAAACAGTTGTACTATGATTTTTAAGATATTAAATCATTACACTCCGTCTTATATGTCAAATAAAATCAAATATCGCACGTATAATTATTAATTTCGCTCATCCCGAAATCTAGATCTCCCTAAACCGAAATAATTGCAGAAGAACATTCTTCTATAGGGGGCGACACAATATAACCAACTACCAGAACACATCCGAAATGTAACTACATTAAGATCCTTCCATACCCTAATAACTGATATTTTTTCTTAACACACTTCCTTAAACTCAAATGATTTTGCATAACTGCGTGTGTGTGTGCACTTGTAATGACCGTCAATCGGGGAGGTTCATATGAATACACAACTTCCAACTGTGGAGACACAGCAAACCGTGGAGCTCCACAGTTGCAGAATCATTAAAACGAGATTTAAATCAGCTTTGGGACATCTCAGTAGTACCCCATCAACGTTCGGCTGCGATTTAACTCCATCCCCGGTTTCCCACTTTGGAGTCATAGCTTGCAGCCTGAATATGTGTATTATTTTCCGATCTCAAGAATAATATCAAGTGAAGAGCGCCAGCATGAGGATACACACTGCACAGTCTGTATCTTATTAGATGCAGCGCATGCGCAGTGCTGGTGCAGTGCACCTTGCGACGTGCCTGTTAACGTATATGGACATGTCATGGCGGGATTAGTACAGCCACAACTGGCAAAAGTAAGTAGAACTAGTCTAGATCTAGAAAGTTTACTTTCATTTTTAATCCAGTCTAGGCCCATTAATATTCTATCAACTTTTTAAAGAATTCCTTAGGCCTATAGATCTAGTTCTATCATGATATTGGGTACAAAAAACTCATACATAGATCTAGATCTAATCTAGATCTAGATCTAAGTAAGATGTAGATCTAGGCCTAACGTTAGGCCTAGCCCTAGACTAGTACTACTAGTCTAGGCTACTAGTAGTAGTAGATCTAGGTCTAGTATAAGTTCTTCTTAGGCCTAACTTTAGAGTTAAACTAAAGGAATATCTAGTAACGTTAGATTCGAAGGTCTATTTCACATCAGCCAGATTTAGCCTAAATGTGTGCATGGGAAATGTGGAGCCATACTAGGTCTAGGCCTATCTGTATATAACTCACATGGGCCAGATGTGTATAAATGTGTGCATGGGAAATGTGGAGCCATAATAATCTGGGTCAGATGTGTATAAATGTGTGCACGGGAAATGTGGAGCCATAACTAGATATAGATCTACATGGGCAATATGTGTTTAAATGTGTGCATGGGAAATGTGGAGCCATAGATATATATATATTACACATGGGCCAGATGTGTATAAATGTGTGCATGGGAAATGTGGAGCCATATATATATATATATATATATTACACATGGGCCAGATGTGTATAATTGTGTGCATGGGAAATGTGGTCCCATGTTTATCTCAACTATTTAAGGTGGATTGACGATTTATAAATGTGTGCATGGGAACTGTGGAGCTATTATACATGGGCCAGATTTGTATAAATGTGTGCGTTGGAAATGTGGAGCCATATCTATATATTTTATACATAGGCCAGATGTGTATAAATGTGTGCATGGGAAATGTGGAGCCATATATATATATATATAATGGGCCAGACGTGTATAAATGTGTGCATGGGAAATGTGGAGCCACATCTCTATATATATATATTACACATGGGCCAGATGTGTATAAATGTGTGCATGGGAAATGTGGAGCCATATATATATATATATATATATATTACACATGGGCCAGATGTGTATAAAGGTGTGCATGGGAAATGTGGAGCCATATATATATATATATAATGGGCCAGACGTGTATAAATGTGTGCATGGGAAATGTGGAGCCATATCTATATATATATATATATATTACACATGACCCAGATATGTATAAATGTGTGCATGGAAAATGTGGAGCCATGTTTAACTGAACTATTTAAGGTGGATTGAAGACTTATAAATATGTGCATGGGAACTGTGGAGCCATTATACATGGGCCAGATTTGTATAACTGTGTGCATGGGAAATGTGGAGCCATATATATATATATATATATAATGGGCCAGACGTGTATAAATGTGTGCATGGGAAATGTGGAGCCATATCTATATATATATTACACATGACCCAGATATGTATAAATGTGTGCATGGGAAATGTGGAGCCATATGTATATTACACATGGGCCAGATGTGTATAAATGTGTGCATGGGAAATGTGGAGCCATATATATATATTACACATGGGCCAGATGTGTATAAATGTGTGCATGGGAAATGTGGAGCCATATATATATATTACACATGGGCCAGATGTATAAATGTGTGCATGGGAAATGTGGAGCCACATATATATATTACACATGGGCCAGATGTGTATAAATGTGTGCATGGGAAATGTGGAGCCATATGTATATTACACATGGGCCAGATGTGTATAAATGTGTGCATGGGAAATGTGGAGCCATATATATATATTACACATGGGCCAGATGTATAAATGTGTGCATGGGAAATGTGGAGCCACATATATATATTACACATGGGCCAGATGTGTATAAATGTGTGCATGGGAAATGTGGAGCCATATGTATATTACACATGGGCCAGATGTGTATAAATGTGTGCATGGGAAATGTGGAGCCATATATATATATGACACATGGGCCAGATGTGTATAAATGTGTGCATGGGAAATGTGGAGCCATATATATATATATATTATACATGGGCCAGATTTGTATAAATGTGTGCATGGGAAATGTGGAGCCATATCTATATATATTATACATGGGCTAGATGTGTATAAATGTGTGCATGGAAAATGTGGAGCCATATATATATATTACAAATGGGCCAGATGTGTATAAATGTGTGCATGGGAAATGTGGAACCATATATATATATTACACATGGGCCAGATGTGTATAAATGTGTGCATGGGAAATGTGGAGCCATATATATATATTACACATGGACCAGATGTATAAATGTGTGCATGGGAAATGTGGAGCCATATATATATTACACATGGGCCAGATGTGTATAAATGTGTGCATGGGAAATGTGGAGCCATATATATATTACACATGGGCCAGATGTGTATAAATGTGTGCATGGGAAATGTGGAGCCATATATATATATATATTACACATAGGCCAGATGTGTATAAATGTGTGCATGGGAAATGTGGAGCCATATATATATATATTTATTATACATGGGCCAGATTTGTATAAATGTGTGCATGGGAAATGTGGAGCCATATCTATATATATTATACATGGGCCAGATGTGTATAAATGTGTGCATGGAAAATGTGGAGCCATATATATATATTACAAATGGGCCAGATGTGTATAAATGTGTGCATGGGAAATGTGGAGCCATATCTATATATATATTACACATGACCCAGATATGTATAAATTTATGCATGGGAAATGTGGAGCCATATATATATATATATATATTACACATGGGCCAGATGTCTATACATTTGTGCATGGGAAATGTGGAGCCATTTATATATTACATATGGGCCAGATGTGTATAAATGGGTGCATGGGAAATGTGGAGCCATGTTTATCTCAACTATTTAAGGTGGATTGAAGATGTATAAATGTGTGCATGGGAAATGTGGAGCCATATCTATATATATTACACATCAGCCAGATATGTATAAATGTGTGCATGGGAAATGTGGAGCCACATTTATTATTGCATATGGGCTAGAAATGTATAAATGTGTGCATAGGAAATGTGGAGCAATCTATATCTATTGCAAATGAGTCAAATATGATAAGATGTGTGCATGGGAAATGTGGAGCCATGTATTTACATGACCCCCTTGATGTACATCATAATGGATGTGTTTCATAATACCTCATGATTTTAACAAATAATATAATAAAATTGAGCATGGATATGAGTAGCAATATTTTGGCAAATTCCAGTATGATTAGGGGGAGGATGTGGGGGGGGGGTGTAATATTTAGATATTTTCTTCCAGCTTGCTCACAGCTGTGTTTCTGCATAATATTATTAATATTTACTTGACCTGTTTCAGAATCGGATTCTCAGAAGTCAAACCAGACAGACAGTTCCAGATATTTTTAGTGAAGTTGATCCTGAAGGATTTACAGTGAAACAGCTGCCTGACAAAGGTGAGTGAGGTTACATACATGTACATGTAGATTGTATTAATAGTGAAAATTCACTGTAGCATAGATATCTAACATTAATATGCTCAATAAAATATTGATTCAGAGCTAGACTATGCAAGGAACGCCTGGTATGGTTCTTTGATCACACCTCATCGCCTATTGTCTGAAAATCACCAGCTCTTTTCAGAGTAACTTTGATACCCTTCGCAGTTAAACAGGTCAACTTCTTTAGTAAAATCTATACCCTTTCTGTATATTTCATTAATTTCATGCAGTAGAATATTTGATATGCTTTCCCTCATATTTTTCTGTTTTTATAATCTTAATTCAACACTTAATTGCGTGAAGCAGTCTTCAATGGCAAAGTGTTGAAAATAGAATCAATTACCACTACTGCATTTTCGTCTACAAAATACTCAATAATCTAGCCCCTTATTTAGAATCTTTTGGTCATAATCGTCCAGTTTACTTTGTTACTTGTCATTCTACCTTAAATCCCTTATTTATCCTGAAACCAAAGACTGAATTTAAAAAACGTTCTTTTTCTTTCACTGCTCCAAGCATCTGTAACAATCTACCGACTCATATTCGCACGGAAACTTCACTCCAAATGTTAAAAAACCAAATTAAGTCACTCCCTCTATCACTTTAATGCATGCACTGGTACCTAATGTTATATCATGACTTTTACCATAATTTAGTTTTGTTTGTTTGTCTGTTTGCAGTTGTGTAGTCTATTTTTACGGCATGTGTATTTTTTAAAATATTTTTTTGGTCATTTTTCTTTGTATCAATAATATCTTAAATGTTTAATATTTAAGGCCTTTTGTTCATTTTGATCTAGTTTTTATTTTTTTAAAGCTTTTTTTTTAATGTTTTCTACAATGTATTCTATTTTTTTGTAAATATTTGTATGTACAGGGCTCTTTTGTAAAGCAGGAGGTATTAAACTTGATTTGGTTAAGTGTTTAAAGGTTAGACCTTGAAATGAATTTTAATGCCTCCTCATGGGGTTGAATGTCAAAATTTTTTTAGAAAATCTAGAGAAAACGTCATGTTCATCATGACATGCATGACACTGTAATTTAATATCTGCAGCATACTAATATTAAATACAATGTGTTGCTTACAAGTCTGCTTGATGGCAATGTGACCAAAAAGACACACAAATGTTATTTAAAACTCAACCAATTTTGAAAATAAGTGCCTTCTTACAAGTACGAGTCTGAGTTACTTATCACACCTGAGCATTATCTTAAATGACAGACAAATATACTTGTAACATCATATTCACAATGTTTAAACTCGCATGATTGATCTCATGAAGATTATGTATTTCTTCAATCACACAGGTAGAGCAGTCTTTACCACCAAAACGTTTGAAGAGGGAGAATTCCTTTTGTGGTACAGAGGAGATCTGGTAACCAGAGATGTGGGGGAAAGAAGAGATGCAGACTGTGAAACTTGCTTCAGATACTTTTTCACATGGAAAGGGACGAAATGGTGGTAAGTCTACATACTATGACGACTTGATTTATTGAAAAGTATATTTTGTAATGATAGGTGTTGAAAACAAACCTAAGGCTATATGCTTATGACGTAGTCGTAAACATGTGGGTTGACAGGGCAACATATTTTCTACCAGTGGTTTTTGTTTTTCCCCTAGAGAAAGATCGAAAGCTAGTCATATCTGTCAAATTCTATTCCGTGCTTTTGAATAAACCCGTGGACTGACCACATACAGTACACATACATTTTTCTGCAGAAAGTATCAATACGGCAAGGACAGCATAGAACAAATATGCAACTTATATTCTTCTCTATCTATTCAAACCTGTTTTAGCTATCATACAAAAAACACACAATCTTACCAATGACAATTATTCAACCTTGTCAGTCCAACAGATCATATTCCATTTTGGAGAGCATAAAATGAGAATATAAAACAATATTTGGTACAAATATTGGATATAAAAGAAAGGTGCATTACACTGAAAAGTCCATGTTTTTTTTTTGTACACTCCACATTTCATCTTACAGATGAAACAGATTCGGAAATTTCTATGCAACTTGCACCACCTCCCTCTCCCTCCAGTGAAGTTTTAAATGATGAAACAGATTCGGAAATTTCTACGCAGCTTGCACCACCTCCCTCTCCCTCCAGTGAAGTTTTAAATGATGCTGGTTCATCAGTTCCCTGCAATATGTCATCGGAAGACTCTTTTTCTACTCCCCCTTTCTTCTACACCTCATCTTCACTTCAGTCTGATATTACTTCATCTGTTCATTCATTACTTCCCCTAACACCTCCCCGCACCCCCCAATCAACCCCTCACACAACCCCTCCCTCAACCCCTCTCCTAACCCCTCTCCCAACCCCTCTCCCAACCCCTCCCTCAACCCCTCTCCTAACCCCTCGCTCATCAACTCCTCATTCAACTTCTTCATCTGCTTTGTCTCCTCCTCTCCCTTCCCATCCTCCTAATTCATTTCTTTCAATGTCTGTTGTCCAGCGTCATCCTCGCATTGTAGCTGGATTTCTCATTTCGCTACTCCTGCTTGTTGTCTTTATTCATCTTCTGCTTTTAATTTCTGTTATCCTTCTTTGTTAAATGTTCATCATTCATTTTGTAATTTCCCAAATTTCCTCTTCTTTATAATCTGGGAAGATGATCTGAGATGGGCCAATTATGTCAAATGGTAAGATTTATTGAAAAATCATTTGAAAACTTGAGAACAAAAATCATACAGTTGGTAAACATAATCTTCATTGAGGATGTAGTTTTCAATGCACAATTCAAACCCTGCATTGGATTTCCTGCTTTCTTTGCTCATTCTAAAATAATATAACACTGCATACATGTTTGGTCCGTTTGATATGAATTCAGGTTTGTGCTAGTAGCCACTTTTTATATTGTATTCTTTATTTGCTTTTTGGAGCTACGTTCCACTTTTAAAGATTAGATAGATTATTTTCTTCTTTCCCCCCTCATTCTACACGTCTGTTCTTGTTTATCATAATGCTTTTTTTCCTTTTTCCCATGCTATTTTTTAATCTTTCCTCATCTCTCCCTCCCTTCTTCTCCTTGGACTCATCTTTCTTCTCCGCATGTTCCTTCTCCCCTGCCGAAGCCTTCTTCCATCTCTCCCACCCGGTGTAAACATCTTGTGGATAGATATGTCCGAAATTGTACATTTTCCCTTTAGTCTGTTGCCTCTCCTTGCCCTTTCCCCAATTTGGTCGCTTCTCTCTCTTTTTTGTTATTTTTGTTATACCATGTAATGTCTTTGGCTCTCGTATTTCAGAGGGTCTTGAGAGGATATATTTTGTTCGCAATGCTGTTGCCCGTGGCTTGTAGGGCGTGTCGTTATTCGACCTTTGTGGGTTTTTTTTTGTTTTTTTGTTATTTGTATTTATATTGAAAAAATCTTCCACGGTTAGTTCGTCGTCTTTTTTCGCCTCGGTACTCGTGTCTGATGCACGGTGACATTTTGTAGCATTACAATTTTAAGGCAAATGAAAAGTAAACATATGCATGTTTAATGTTCATGATATTGGTTATGATTTCCAATGCCTACATGTAATGTTACCTATTTGTTTCCTATGTTACTTGTATTTCAAATTTCCTCCTAAAATTAACCATGCGTTAACAAAAATCATGACTGTAACGATTCTTCTTTAAGTGATACCCTACTTGAAAAGTAACAGTTGATCAAATAATATCTGACAACAGAGAAAACCTAAAGTGAAATCACAAATTGTAACCCACATATACTTGTATGTTTCAGTGATTCATTGTAATTTTAAACATTGATGAATCTAATGTTTTCATTTTTTTTCAATTTCATTTCCAGTAGGGATGCATCAGTCGAACCAACTAAACAACAACTGGGACGACTCGTCAACCATGGTTGGAGGGGTGAAGTCAACAGCAGAATGAAGATTAGAGAGAACCCTCACAATGAACCAGAACTGGTTCTCTTCTCATTGAAGAAAATCAAAGAAGGTGAAGAAGTGTTATATGATTATGGGGTGGGAGATAATTTTGTATTCCCAAGTCCTACTCAATTACACAGTGGAGTCCAAGATGAAAAACCTGAAATTCTGCAAAATTCTGCAAACCTCCCACCAGACCCAGAAAAAGTTTGTTCACCATTCTCCGAGCCTGCCACACAAGAACTACTGGAACCAGATGGAAACTTTTCACAGTCCAATGTTCGAGCTGATGATGATGAAACATCTGAAGATCGATGCAGAAACCCCCCTAATAACGAAACAAATTGGGAACCATCCCCTAAGCCTGCCACACAAGCTTTAATGGAATCAGATGGTAAGATTTCACAGTTCAGTGTTTCAGCTGATAATGATGACACATGTGATGATCCATGCCGGAACCCCTCTAATAACCAAGAACATTGGGAACCATCCCCTGAGCCTGCCACACAAGCGTTAATGGAATCAGATGGAAAGCTCTCCCAGTTTGATGTTCCAGTTGATAATGATGACACATGTGATGATCCATGCATAAACCCCCCTAATAACCAAGTGCATTGGGAATCATTTACTGAGCTTGCCACACAACCTTTAATAGAACCAGATGGAAACCTTCCACTCTCCAATGTTCTAACTGATGATGCTGAAACATCTGATGATCTATGCAGAAACCCCCCTAATAACGAAACAAATTGGGAACCATCCCCTGAGCCTGCCACACAAGCTTTAATGGAATCAGATGGAAAGATTTCACAGTTTAATGTTTCAGCTGATAATGATGACACATGTGATGATCCATGCATAAACCCCCCTAATAACCAAGTGCATTGGGAACCATTTACTGAGCTTGCCACACAACCTTTAATGGAACCAGATGGAAACCTTTCACTGTCCAATTTTCTTGCTGATAATGATGACACATCTGATGATCTATGCAGAAACCCCCCTAATAACCGAGAGCACTGGGAACCATTCCCTGAGCCTGCCACACAAGCATTGATGGTACCAGATGGAACCCTTTCACAAAATATTTTTTCAAGTGATAATGAGGACACATTATCTGACCATAATGATGATAGTGATGATGATCCAGACTATGTCTGTGATTCTCAAGGAGATTCTGACTCTTCAGGGAAGACTTCATTAAATAATTCTCAAGCATCATTGCCTAAGGCTAAATGTACATCAATAAATGGCATCACTCGATCACTGAAATCTCTGTCATCAGATCAGTCATTGGAGGCATCATCAAGATATGGAGGCATTGATGCTGACCATGAGGGGATAACTGTGATGAAGACCAACAATCAAGGAGGGCGAAAATATGACAAGGTAGCTTATTGCATGATGTGTGAGAAGCCCCACAAAAAACTTCCTGATCACCTGCGGTCACAACATTCCAATGAAATAAAGGTGGCTCAATACATGGCAGCAACGAATCGAAAAGAAAAGGATAAGCTATTGACATTGATAAGAAATAAAGGAAATCACATGCACAACTACAGGGTCTTCGAAAAGGGTCATGGAGAGCTTGTGGTCGTATATAGACCTTCTTGTGAAGCAAAGCCCCGTGATTATCAGCCTTGCAAAGATTGTTTGGGATGGTTTGCGAAAGCCGAATTGTGGAAACACCGCTGCATTTTGAAGCAAGAAGAGCCGGCTAAGGAGCAAAAGAAAAAACGAAGAAGACTATTAGCACAAGGTCGACTCTTGCTTCCACCAGTGCCCTGCACATCAAGAGATTCTATAACACACAAAGTACTGAGTGGTCTCAGCGATGATGAAATCAAGGCCTGCATTCTAAATGATCAGTTGATTCTAGAATTGGCCAAGGTGTACTCTAAGAAATTGGGCCATGACGAAGAACAGCACAACCACATCAGATGCAAGTTACGAGAACTAGGAAGACTTGTACTTCAGTTCAGACGTTGCAGCTGCAATGGCAAGGCAAGTCTGACTTCCCTGATATCACCAAATGGTTTTATGACTGTCTTGAGTGCTGTCAAGAAAGTGGCAGGCTTTGATGAGGAGAACCACTTGTTCAATACACCAAGTCTAGCACTTAAGCTGGGACATACCTTAAGAAAGGCTGCCTTTGTGCTCCTGAGTAAGGCTTTGATGGACAGAGATGGGGATGACATGCAGAAACTTGTAGAAAAGTTCATCAAGCTGCTGGACACTTGTTGGGGATCTGAAATCTCTACTCATGCTCTACGAACTTTGTACCAGAGGAAACGAAACCAGCCCAAACTCCTACCCCTAACGAGTGATGTTGTGGCTTTGTCAAGACACCTAGAGGTACAGGCTGAACTTTGTGTAGACAAACTGTCATCTGGGACCGCAATCGAAAACCATAGCACATGGAGAGAACTCAACAAGACCATGCTGGCTCATCTCATTGTGTTTAATAGGAGGAGACAAGGGGAAATCAGCAAGATGACTCTTGATGACTACAATAAAATCAAGAAAGGTGAATCTCATATGGTGGAAGGACAACTAGAGATGCTGAAAGACTGGGAAAAAAATCTTGTAAAGTTTCTCTGGAGAGTTGAGGTAGTAGGAAAACGTGGCAGGACAGTGCCGATCCTTGTGACAGACTCCATGAAATCATGTGTAGACACCCTTGTATCCCACAGGGAGGAAGCAGGTGTAAACCCAAGCAACAAATACCTGTTCGCTGTAGCCAATAGTGACACTACATCTCATGTTCGAGGGTCAGATGCTCTCCGTGAGCTGTCAGAAGCATGTGGAGCACAAAATCCTTCAACACTTCGATCCACAAAATTACGGAAGCATGTAGCTACCATGTCACAACTAATGAGCTTGAGGGACCATGAGATGGACGCCTTAGCAAACTTCATGGGCCACGATATTAGGATACATAGGGAGTATTATAGACTGCCAGATGCTGCTATGCAGGTGGCCAAAATATCAAAGATCCTGTTCGCCATGGAGGGAAAAGCTGGGAACCCGGTCCAGCTGATTGGCACTGCAAAAAGTCTGGATGAGCTTCAAATCAACTTAGATGAAGGTAAATTTGTGATGAGGGTAGAATTATACAGTGGGGATCTCAATTCAAACCCTAATGAGATGAGAAACATCATGGCGAGGGATGAGTGGGATGAATAACAAACCATGTAGCATGTACTAATTTTAAGAATCAAGTATTTCTGATTTCCACTCAACTTGACAATTATCAAATACAAAATATGTAAATTGATAAACATGCTGCAACATTATTGAATTAATGAAAAGTGTTGTTTTCAAATGAACCATGCAGTTAAATATTCCTCACTATATTGTGCACTTGTTTGTTTCAATTTATTTAGATTAGGGGTAATTAAGGCATTTGTTTGACTCGATCCACACATGTGGCATATACCTGGTGCCAATTCTACCATGTTGTATTTAGAAATAATTGATTATATTCTTTTGTTTTAAATTACAAGTATGTTTTCTTTGCAGTTGACCCAGATTTTCTTTTTGGTGAATATTATTGATTATTATTTTATGTACAGAGATCGACACTGGAGAACAGGGACCTGAATCATGTGATGACAATTGTGACAGCGATGTTGATTCTGGTGATCATGATGTCGAACGTCAGCTACCTGGATGCTCCCAAAAAGGTATGACTTTAAGTCCAATGAGAGCATCTAAAAAAATTCTTTTTGCAAACCTAAATGTTAATTTTGCCTATTGTACCGCACTCTCAATCATCCTCAAAAGCCAAAGTGAAACCAAACTTTTTCCTGTTGAAATCACCACGTACCAATATTTGTGCATTTTGAATTGTTAAAAATTATAGCACAATTATAATTGTAATGTAGCCTCACAAAAAGCCTGTTGCCAATGACGGAGAAAATCTATTAGTGAATTTAATTGGTCTCTATATCTAAACTTCTCTAAACTAAAAAAAAATTGTGTACATACAATATTATAGACTCAGAAAGTATTATGTGATCGTGGCCCTTTTGTTCTAGACTGGGAGTCAGGGGTTGTCAAGGTAATACAAAATGTACTTTTTTTCATGCACACAGCAATCACTACAATATACTAGGAAATGGATGAAAATGGAGGCAGCCAGGAGCCCCTCCCAAATAAACCCAAAACTGAGCTAGATTAGCAAAATAAATGACCAATAGAAACCGGGTAGAATATGTGAAACATAACCCCATCTGTCATGACACTGTCAGATAATTTAAAGACTTGTTTGTGCCCGACTCCCCTAAACGGTAGATGCCCATAATTTCACGAAATATGAGCTTTACAAAATTATATGATGGCTTTCTTCCCGCAAAAAAAAATCGTTTAAGTGTATTCCTCCCAGGATCACACTCTATTCTGCATCACTGCAAAAGAGGATTTAAATATTCTTCCTCTCCTTCCATCCTCATAACAGTAATGCACTCTTCAAGTTCATGGGTCAGAGACTCAGAGAAACAGTATGTGATACTGCATTTATTATTCTGCATAGTATAATTGCAACATTTTTTTTTGTTATTGTCTTTCATTAGGTACCAAAAGGCAAAGGCAAACGCAACATGTACTGGAAGAGGTTGATGAACAGCCAATAAGGAAGAAACGAAAGACAGCATGGAGCGATGCGGAAAAGTCGGCTGTCCAGAGACGTTTAGGAGCCTTTATGACTGTTCATTCTAAGCTACCTGGCAAGAGAGCGATAGACGAATGCTTGAAAGCTGAAGCTGTGCTGAAACACAGAACGTGGGTCAACATCAAAGACTACGTAAGAAACTCGAAGGTTACCAAAAGCAGAAAAACACAGCCTTGGTAAAAACATTCCCTTTAATATCAAATCACCATTTTTATATTGAATACACACATGCTTTTGTTTTGAGTCACCAAACTGCTGAAAATGCTCATAAATTACAAGGCATGTTCTTGTTATTACAGTCTAAAATGTGTATTCTTTTATATTTGGTTTCTCCATGTATTCATAAAATGTTTACCCACTCTACTGGCAAAGGATTTGTTATTTTGAGGTTTTATTATCATTTTTGTAGGCATCCGGCAATTTGTAATTGTGTTAGGGTCTTAGTGGACCTATGCTTGGCCACTCCCAGATATCAATGACAGGGAGCATATCGTTTAGGCAACATGTACTGATTACAATGAGAATTTTGCAGCATGAGTTGGAAATATCCTATTTGAACAAGAAAAAAACCCATAGATTTTTTAACGAAATAAATCAGTGGAAGTTGTAATCAAACAGTCAAGTATTTGTATTTACATACCATAATGGCAGCATAAGAAGGCAGTAGGGGAATTGACTAGTGTAATGCTTGTACATTTGTGACACAATTAAAACTTAAACAACATTTATTATGAGAACACGTTCAGTATAGTGTATTAATATCATCATCAAGGGAGAGTGCCCTTATTATGTGTAAAGGGTGCCCCTTTTCATTTTGGACAGAACTTGTGTTGTTTCTGATATTATTATGGGGTTGTACTAAACACTCGGGTCGCGGCGCGCTGAAAAACACTCGGGTCACGGCTCGTTTGGCCATCTTTTTTTAAGTGTCTTCAAATCGGCTTTTTAATATAAGGGGGAAATCTTATTTCAAATTAGCGACTGTTTTTACACTCGGGTCGCGGCTCGCTGGGCCATTTTTTCAATGATGTCTTCAAAGGGGATGCGTGGGGAAATTTACTTTAAAAACGAAGTTGTAAGTTGTGATTGTTTTTTGTTCAATGATAGACAAATAAGAAGATTATAATTAAGGCTGACATCGGGAAAGACAAATATACTAGGTGGGTAAAGTGGATTTTAGAGAAAGTGTAATAGTACATAGGTATATGATCTATTAATATGATAGAAACAAGGAAGAATGGATACAGTGAGAAGATGAATTGTGGGAAATTAAGAACTACCAAGAGAGGAATACAAAAACAAAGAATGAAAGAATGAAATGAATATTTCCATCATTCCTTGTAATATCCTATCAAGTTTTATTCCTCGCTTTATTTTCATATTTGTCAGTCTTTAAAAAATATTCTTTCTAAATTTTATTCTACCCCTTTATTTCTCATCTTTTTTCTATCATGTAAATCTTTATTTCCTCCACTCTTTTCTTTATATCTTTATCACTGTTAAATCTGACCAATGAATTCTTTCAATTCCCTTTTTATTAAATATTTGTTTTCTTTCATTCTTTGTTTATGTAATCCTCTCTTGTTAGTTCTTAATTTCCCACAATTCATCTTCTCACTCTATCCATTATTCCTTGTTTCTATCAAATATACAGTTCATTTCCCTTGTAGTATTACACTTTCTCTAAAATCCACTTTAATCACCTAGTATTTTGTCTTTCCCAATGCCAGCCTTAATTCTAATCTTCTTATTTGTCTATCATTAAAAAAATAATAATCACAACTTCCAACTTCTTTTTTAAGAAAATTTCCCCACGCATCCCCTTTGAAGACATCATTGAATAAATGGCCCAGCGAGCCGCGACCTGAGTGTAAAAACAGTCACTAATTTGAAATAATATTTTCCCCCTTAAAAACCGATTTGAAGACACCATTTTGTTTAAATGGCCAAACGAGCCGCGACCTGAGTGTTTAGTACAAGCCATTAATATGGGATAGTGTAGAGATAGAATTTGTACACTTTTGTTTAATTAGCAATGCAGTAGTTTGTGCAGATTTAGTATAATTGTGGCAAAAAATAGAGGGGGAGTCAATGATCAGTGCCCCCTTTTAAAAGTAAACCGAATGTATGTTTGTTGTGAATTAATAAGAACAGATCTGAATATTATTCTCAGATTTCCCACATACATAAAATATGTCAATTTAGTGTTTAAGCACTAGACTATAGATGATGGTTGTAATGTGAATAATTAGTTGTGATGGGGGGTCGGGGACCCAAAACCTTTTTTTTTTGTAATACCTTTGCAACAAAACAAATAAAAAGGGCTATAATAAAGGGTTGGTTCCAGTATAATCATATAAACCTACAATATTAATATGATTCACCTTACTTCTTGCTGATTCAATTTCATCCCTGGTCCCTTTTTTTTGGGGGGGGGGATTTGTGATGTCAGTGAGTTCTCCTTCATTCTTCATCATTGTTCAAAAGTTGGCTTCTCCAACAAATTTGTATTGCGTCAGATTTGTGTTAAATGTATAGCACACAACTAATGATGATGCTATGATAGGAATGTAAAAAACAGATATGCTGTGTAGCTTTTTTAACCTTAGGTACTGTTAAACTCTACGTAATTATGTTCATCAAACTAATATCTGGAATCTTTTTGTAGTTGTGATGGGGGTCGGGGACCCAAAACCTTTTTTTTTTGTAATACCTTTGCAACAAAACAAATAAAAAGGGCTATAATAAAGGGTTGGTTCCAGTATAATCATATAAACCTACAATATTAATATGATTCACCTTACTTCTTGCTGATTCAATTTCATCCCTGGTCCCTTTTTTTTGGGGGGGGGGGATTTGTGATGTCAGTGAGTTCTCCTTCATTCTTCATCATTGTTCAAAAGTTGGCTTCTCCAACAAATTTGTATTGCGTCAGATTTGTGTTAAATGTATAGCACACAACTAATGATGATGCTATGATAGGAATGTAAAAAACAAATATGCTGTGTAGCTTTTTTAACCTTAGGTACTGTTAAACTCTACGTAATTATGTTCATCAAACTAATATCTGGAATCTTTTACATCCATTTTGCCCCCAAATCAAACTCCATCATGTTAAATGGTATCTTTGGAATGTACTATTGTTACCACTGACAAATATTCATATATAATATTTGAGAAACTTGGAAAAATGGATATTATTAATTTTGTCAGACTGAAAAGGGAATTATCCCTCAAATACTAACGCATTCATATTTATATGTATCACATGATTTTACAACAAAAGAAAATACAATGGTATATAAATCAGGACTTTCTAGCAAACTGTGTGGTGTGCTAGTACTCTACCTAGGGGCTGCTATTTTCTTAGAGAGCAGTAGTGACTCTTGACCTTCAGTTTCAGTTTAGTTTCATTTATTTCACACTAAATAATTTCGAAATTACATGTGAAAAAAGGAACTTAATCAAAAGCATATAGCTTGTAGAATTTAAGTTCCTCAAAATAATGTTGACA